AATGTGACATTATTGGAATCACTGAAAGGTGATAAAAACAACACTAATGGACCCACACTGTTCTCAAGATACAGGAAACATAAACGAGGAGGAGCTGTAGCATCACAAGTTTCAGATATTTAACCTAGAGGAATCGAGAATCTCAGAAACTATGGAACATTCTAGCTATAGAATAAGGAGTATGCTATAGACCATTATATGCAGTGGGTGTGCAGTCCTGTAATCAATTTAAAATGCACACCTTTTACTGTACATCTGAGTGTATGAAAGCAAGGCATCTTCCCAAACGAAGTTCTCCTCCCCTGTTAGGAAGGCCACATCATTTTAAAGAAAGCATCAAGTAAAATCCTGAACACTAAAATTCTGTAGCAGGTTTCTGTAGGCAAGACGCTTTCCTTGATTTCATGAGGCTGTACAGCCTGCATGACCACAGCTAAAGAGCAGACGTTGAAACATTGCTCACTGTGTAACCCTGATTGCATTATTTAGAAATGCTGTGGTTAGAACAATACCCTTTAGAAAATGAAACATAATGGACCAATGATATCAGAAGTCATGCGAAAATCTGTTTCTAGATGTTCATAAGGGAAACCTCTTAACTAGCAGTAATAGGAACTGCTGAGAAAGGCCACAGGGAAGTAGTTGTCAGCTTCCTAGTTGCAGGTTGACATGAGAAGGAACTACCATGAACAATTATTCAAGCATAATGATGCCCCAGGCTAGCCTTGAGCTGTCATTTTAGAGAGCAATCTTGTAGCAGCCTTCTGGGTAATGGATAGATCAGTCTTTGAAGATTTCCTACATTCCACTGAAACGCTTGGAAGGTCCACTTCATAGCACATGAGGTTATATTCTCCTTTTTCATATGTCAGATTGCTTGCCTTGATAGAATTGCTTCCAGAAAGGTTAATCTGAAGATAACAAGTTCATCATTAAATGAGTAATTAGTAAATGTTTAGTGATTTCCAAATTAATGGAACCAGAGTTTGAGACTTTTTAAAAAGCGCAAATAAAAAGAGTACAGTGATTCTGTTTGATAAGATTCTGATCACCAAATAACACACTATAAATCACTAATGCTTGAAAAATATGTTTTTCATTTAAAACAATCAGGTTTCATAATAATAATTTCAGGAGAATTTATTAAATAGCATCTACAGTCGATGTTTCTGGTGTTTAATCGGCATAGATGATCAAATGTATTAATTGGGCATAGATTGCTATGCATAATTTGTAGTTTTAATTTTCTAATTAAAGCTATAGAGAGCCGGGGGAGGGCTGATATTGTGTTAGAATGTTGCTCTGAAGACTTGTCCTACTGTACCAATGCAGATAACTCCATGTCCAATTACCAGTAAATTTAAAGAAAATGATGGGTATTTCAAATCATGATATATGGTTCACATAAAACCAGTGGTGCAGAAGCTTAATTGAGGTTCATTGAGACCACAAAACAGTACAGTAGAAATGTTAAAATATCCATCCATCCATTATCTAAAAGATTCATCCAATTTAGTTTCATGGGGGAGTCTATCCCAGCAAGCAAAGGGTGCAAGGCGGGGTGCACCCTGGGCAGGATCCTGGTTCATCACAAAGCCCACACATACGCACTCACACCAAGGGATGTTTTCCCAGAAGCCAGTTAGCCTACCAGCATGTCTTTGGACCGTAGGAGGAAACCAGAGCACCCGAGGAAACTTATGCGAACTGGGGAGGACATGCAAACTCCACACAGACAACACCCCAGTTCTCAAACTGAACCCAGGGCCCCAGCACTGTGATGTAGCAATACTAACCAATGTGCCACCATGCTGTCCATGTTGAAATACAGTAGAAATCTAGACAAAAAAGTGTGTTGGGCAGTGCCTGCATAAGGTTTTCAAATATCACCATTCATATGCCAGCTCTCATACTCAGCATTACAAAAACTGAATACATCTGCGTCAAAACAGATGTGCCAATGAAACAATCCCATGCAGCCATGGGGCCCAGAACAAATTCCAACACAAACAGCACATACACTTGGAACCTATTCGGGATTGTGGTTCCACAAATGAGAGCAATCAGATTGTGCAGACTAGAATTGATTACAAAATACCACTTTGCAAAATTAGTGTACGTTCAGTGATCGTGGTACCCAAGAAGTCTTTGGGTGACTATCCATTGCCAGTAACCTGAGGGGAACAAATACAGATACTGTACACTGACCATTTATCCAGAAAAACTGTTCAAAGGTGTTTATATGAACTTTACATTAAGTACCATCTGTTTTTAGTTCATTGTTTCATGGGTGAAATTGAACAGAGACCTTTTTTCTATCACTTTAAAAAAATTACACAGATGATTCATAGGTTAACTGCAAGATCATTGTGTAGTAGGATGTTCCTGTGGATAAAGGTATTCATTCTTTTTCAATTACACTCCCGTTACAGTGTATTTCCACTGTATCTACAGATTTAATGTGCCTGTATAAGTGTTTGTGGCATTTTTCCCACTATTACTCATCATACAATCTTTATGCTGCAAAGACTTACTGTTAGGAGCTGAAGCCTGCTGTCAGTACAGAAGTTCAGGGAGACGTGACTGAGTGATCATGCATCATTTGGGGTGCTGAATTTTGGGAGTAATAAAATAGAACACAAAAGACTTAAAGATGTCTTTTTGACATTGATAAACATGTGTATTCTGCTTAGTAAGACATATTGCACTGAACTGTGAAATTATAAATATTCTCTTTCACTTCCTCCTTGTTTTTGGTTTATATTTGCATTTACATGACTTCAGAAATTCTCATTGCCTTGGATTGTGCCAAAGCAAGTCCCAGAAAGAATCCTGCATCTCAGTAAGAGTGCTTCATTTTGAGAAGTATGGGGCAGGTTATAGCAGACCAGCATTCCCAGCTTGACCTAAGGACCTATTAAAATAACACATAGTAGGAGCTATTTGTGTACTGTATGTGTTTTGAATTCTTACAGTAATCTCTCTCTTTCTACTGATCTTGCTCAACAGCTACACATACTGCAAGAGATGAAACGATGCTAAAGTTTGCTGCAGCCAAAAGGAATGCAACCTTTTTCTCAGTCATTCAAATGCTGATGCTTGTCGTTTTCATTTGTGTGAGTAACAACTCAAATTCTGTTTGTAAAAGTCCCGTACTTGTGAGTCATTCTTCGCTTGCTGCTCCTATCCCTGGTACCTTGATGGACGAAACAATGGCAAGAATTGAAATCTTCACAAAGAAGGTTATTTTTTGTTCTTCTGGGCAAGTGCTCACCCAGAAAGCAGTTGATTTCTCACCGAGCAGCAATGAAAAACTCTCAATTGCATCATGTTTTGCATGGCAATTAAACTAGATGATAGTGGTGACTTTAATTTTAATTTGGTATTCAATGGCACCGGCATCTTCCCAACCCTTTATCTTTGCTAACCTTGCTTTGTCCCTCGTTTCACGTCATTGTGCAGTCTTTTCTAACAAAGGTTTTTCCAGATAGAGTGCTTTTCATGCAACACAGCTGCAGTGTATTCTCCTAACTGTATACAAATCACAGTGTGGTCTGAGACAAAATGCCAAAATGACGTACAATCCCTTGGCATTCTTACTTGCCGATCTGCTGTGAAAAGGTGAGGTAAGAAAGAAACCTTTTGTGCCTTCATGCTGTGCAGCGGTTTCTTAAGATATGGACACACATTTATACTTGGTTTAGAAAACAGCATTAAAAATGACAATTATGTCTTTGCTAGCATGAAGCGTTGCTCTGTTGTTGCTGGCCCTCAAAGCTTGAAGCCAGTCACACGCTGCCAAATTAGCAGTCACCTTGGGAACTTTATCAGAAGCTTAATCTTAAATTTTGACTGAAAAGAATTAGATAATGCTAAATCCTGCCACTCACAGATCTAGCATTGTAATAGCTAAGGAGATTATATTATAAAGAGAGTCAACGGTTTGGAAATACGCGCAATATTGCATATTATTTGGTGCTATACAAATTGGAGGTATAGTTTAATGCACTGAGTCTGATTCTGTCTACTTGAGTGATGTTCCATTAAATGAATTTATCTCTGTGCTCTGAGCTTCCTTACAGTCTCCTTCCCAAAGATACCTGCATCTGGCAATCACGCATTTCTACATGGCCTTTTTTAAGACTGTAATCCCATGACCAACCTTTTACACTGTATATGTAATCCCATAGCAAGGTTACTTAGGAAGAAAATGTTTGCAAGTTGTTAAGAAATGCAATGATAACGAATGAGAATCAATTTATCACGACAGACGTCTAGAAATGCAGCATCTTATATCAGCTGAAATGTGGCTGGAAAAAAACAGAAACAGATCTCTGGAAATTAAAAAGAAGCCATACATACATTTGAAAATTTGAAAATGTAAAAATCTGTTTAAAAATGACAAAGGTCTGAGATGATGCAATACGTGTTGGGAAAAGGTGCCTATTTTCTAGCATGAGATTTATCAGGTAGTAGACTCTTCGATGAGGTGTGACACAACGTTCCCTGATGTACTGAACTTTCTGCAGGCCTGCTGAAATCAATGGTCTGTGTGACTCTTCTAAGAGAGAAAAACTAATGGCTGACCATGTGACAGCAGACATGTACTGTCTGTCCTATGTCCTCAGAAGCAGAGAGGAACGCTTGTGATAGCCTTGCAAAGACCAGTGGAAAATCATACTTGTAATCTGTACTTATGCACAGTTCTGTATTACCTTTTAGTAGGGTTTTGTCTAAAACTCAAACATTATCTCACAAAGTAGCTTTTCACTAAAGCATACAGTAATATACTCACAAAGGCCAAGAGATAAAAAGGACTCTTCAAACATTCATGTGCAATTTCAACCCTGGCCTGAAAACAGACCTCTAGACAGTCTATTAATTTGCATTTGTAACTGAAGGATACAAACATTTTAATGTAACATTCATTGTTACATGTACAGTATAACATATGACTCCAATCTGCATGTCAACACAAAAATCTGTCAAAACTGCAACAATTTGAAAACAAATGTTCCTTTATTTCTTCATTTAAAGGACAAAGTGACAAGCATCCAAAGGACTTGTGGACAGAATTTAAAAAATCAAAGGAATGCTATGATGGCATCTGCAGAACTGAATATATACTAATCAAAACAGAGAAAATCCTTATTTTCCTTATTATAACCTTATTTCGTTTTTTTCCTTATTTAGTTAAGTGTCTCCGGAAAAAATATTAAGGATAGCTCTTAGCCTGAACGGAGAATTCCTAAATGATTAAAAAGAACGTTTTACCAGATGAAGGAAGACAACATCTAGTCTACAGGAAAAAAATTGCACTACAAGTTGGAACTATTTCCTTCCCAAAATGGCGTCGTAGATCTTTCCTGTCCTCTGTACTCGGATGTCTGTGAACCCTGCCGTGGCCATGAGACCGATGTACTCAGATGGAGTTCTCTCCCTCCCCTCTGTCTGCACCAGCATGTTGAGGGAGTAGAGCTGTGTGGTGAGGGGGCCACTTCGGTCTTCATTCAAGAGTGCCTCAATCAGCAATACTCCCCCACCTACAGTAAGTAGTGGGCATAAAAGAAGTAGAATTAAATAACAAAATCGAAACACAAAATGCCCTAAAACCGACACGGCACTTGGTATAAATGGTATCTAATGGTATAAATTACTCCCGTACCTTTTCCCCATAGTACAGGTCTTGAACAGGATTCTCTGTTCTGTCACCACAAGAGTGTCAGTGTCTCAGTCTAACCTCCATGACTTCTAAGCCCAGTCCAGGTCAGACTGCTGGTGGGCCTGCAGTACACACCTCCCCTCCTGTTGTTTGTCACTGTGCCTAAAGCAGCTCACTAAACACTGTACATACTGTAGGATCTTACACTTAAGTATACCGGGAGAGCTGGCAAGAGCAGTGCTAAGGCAAAGGACAGACTGAAAGACAAATGTAAAATACGTCCATGATAAACGCATGATGAATTCCATCCCGAATCAATGGAAAAGTTCCCTTTGCAATCAATACAAAATCAGCGTTTCTGTGAAATGTATCTACATTCGGGAATTTCAAAGCAGTTAGCACCATAAATCCAAACAAAACAGCAGGGGGACAGATAATGGCGTTGTTCATTATGTCGACTGGACAGATACAATTTCATTACCATTAGAAATTTTATTTTAAATCATTTTTATGATTATTTTTAAGTGGATCTTTACGTGGAGCTGCAGTAATTTTTGAGCAATGTACCAGGAAAGTGGAAAGTGATTGCTCAGCTGAGGAAAGAAAGTGTTATAACAATACCTCTTAGGTCAAGAGCAATAAGAGAGTACATTATTTAAAAATAAGGCATTTTTACAGTTTCCTTTCTGTGCAACAGAAACCCCATGAGTGCAGAGTGGAAGAGTCTGCATGTAGATCCAGCTATGAGTGTCTACATCCAGCACCAAGCCTGCACAGCCTTGTCCGGACCAGCAGCTGGAACTTTCTGTTTCTGAAACATCAAGTCGGCACCTTAGCCAGGTCAGACTTGTGGTGATGAAGACGCAGAGGTGAAGCAGGGTTATGTTGCTAGTGGGGGCAAGTATATCCCAGGGTGTCACGACGGGGGCAAACACCCCCCCAATAATAATCCTTCACATTTCTCTTTCAATCACTTGCTCAATTTCCAGAGACATTTCCAATGTTCGAGCATTCCTCCAGTGTTCAACAACAGCAACACTCATGTCTTGTTCATTGTTTCATTTATAAAATTGCCCATCCCCCCACTACAGAATTGATCTCCTTTTCACCACCAATCTTTTTTTTCATCTCCTCACCTTTTCACCTCATATTCCTGCACCCTGCCTCTGTCCTCTGTCCACCTAAGCAGCCAAAATATTGTGTATTTCCCTTTCATTGTGTTTTTTTTCAGCATGGGGTTCGGCGCTTGTTCTGTTCACAGCCCACACTCTGACACGGCCCCTCACCCTAACCTCTTTCGCTGCTGCTCATGTGAGACCAGAGTTTCACTCAGTGCACAAGAGGAGAAAAGAAAAAAAACCCACAATAATAAATAGAAATTGCACGGTTGTCTTGAATGTCCTCAGAGAATCCCTGAGTAATGGGGCATGCTTTTGTCACATTTATAAAGGAGGTATGATGTACTGTTAGCATTAATAAATCATAAACAAAGGTGAAATGCTATGAAAGTCATGGAAAAACAAGCAAGACAGAAGGGATTTATTTTCCTGTTCCCAGAAGCGACTTAAAGTCCCTGTGGTCAGAAGTGTTACTACAGTAACCAGCAGGAAGCTGGCTCAAAAGGAGCAAAATGTCATGCAAGGCCATTTAATCGCTCCACTAGGTCTCACTCATTTTTATTAAAGTAGACTTTTTCATTTATTTAGTTGGTTATGACAAACGTATTGCGCAAGCCCGCATTTATTTATTCATTAGATTATTTATATTTCAAAAGCAGAAGGGAAGGTGAACGGAATGTCATAGTTTTCGCTAGAGCTCTCTTTGCATGTTACATAATTGGCTTCCAGGAGTGGTTTGAGTTTGGTGGGGTCGCAGGATTTTTTTTTCTGCCTTAAAAGAGGAATTAGCTGCAAGGCTTCTGTTTGTCATCATTTGATAGATCAGAACCAACAGTCAGTGCTACTCTGGCACAACCAGAAAACCCCTAAAAGGCATCGTCTTTCTTCCTGGGGCTAGACTTTCTGGCTGTGGCAAATTGGTTCACGTACAATGATGCAGACAACAGCATGAAAATTAAGACTGCTAATATTTTGGCATTTTGTGCATTTGTGTGTGTACAAGAGGAAAACGTGTTTTGCTTTGAGTCTCATGTATTATAACAAAGGTGCCGGTCTGAGTCTTACTGTGTATATTGAAACCAAGTGCACGCGCACACACACAAAAACGAGATTCTTCAGAAGACTCTACTTGCTCTTTTTTGCATGAAATACTCCTTTCGTCAGACAAATCTTGATCCTATAACTGATTTTTCAACAGTAGGATCTTTACAGTAGGTTAGTTTTCATTTATTCTGGTCTTCAGCGCATTTCAGATTGTCTCCCCAAATTCTTCAGCTGGGTGAGATGCCCAGATAGCCCAAATAGCTACTAGTAACCAAATCAGACAGAGAAGGAGATCAAGCCAAAACCGCCTCCCCTCGGCTATTTCATTCACTGTGTTCTTGTGTTTGTTGAGTCCGGGAGCACCCAGTGACAGATACCAACCCCATCGGAGTAATGGAGAACGACGGGCAGCATGTCTGTAAACCCTTGGTCATGCTTTAGAGAAGCAGCAAACTCTGCTGTACCTGGTTTGCAGGCTCTGTAGACCTTGGTGAGCAGCTCCAGGCTCCTGGTGTTGGTCCAGTCGTGGAGGATACGTGCCAGGATGTAAAGATCCGCCTCAGGGAGGGGGTCTTTGAAGAAGTCTCCTAAACGGACACAGAGGATAGTACAGACACTTTACCACCAGGACCAATTTTGTACGTATATGCATTGCCAAGCAAAAGTCTAAGACACAACCTAGAGTTACAATATACTGTATGTGTATAGAGGATTTGTATGCTGGGACCCAGCAACAATTTGTTCAAAGCCTCCATTAGTGTATTCCACTATTATAACAACCTTGTCACTGACACAGCTTCTTTAAGATGAGAAGAACCAATCTTATCATTTAGGAATCTTGAATTCACACTGATGAATTCTTCAAAAACATGATCTCAACAACCGAGGTAGCTAATCCAGCATGTTTACCGATCAAAACTAAATATCTCTCTGTCAAGTGATCCTCATCATTAACCTGATTTGCTCCTCTCTATCCACCCATCAAGCTAAAAGGCTACAAAATACATATATGGCAAGATTAACTGTTCTCTTAATACATTAGGCTAACATTTTGACATAAGGAAAAAAAGATTTTTCATAGCAGTAATGTATTTTATTGTTAAATAAGGCTGTTCAGTCTTTAGGGATGTGTTCATCCTCCCATTTAGTTTCTGACCCATGTAACCATCCATTACAATGGCATGAGTGGTGGAACACATACTGTTAAGCTTCAATGTTTACATAATCAATAACTTTGATTATGTTTTATTCCAGTAAACTGAATCAATGGCTTTGCCACTAAAGGACATTGATTTAAACAAATCCCGTTTCAATTCCAGAGACGGGAGCAGAGTAAAGGTGACTGCAGGGAGGGACAGTGCAGCAGCTGTTGGGCAAGCTGCCTGATGGGACTCTGCTGTTACAGTTTGACAACAGTGCCCTTCAGAGCTCATCCGTCAATCACTTTCCCATTTTCTTGTCAGGGTCTTAGCCGGGGCAGTGAAGGGTTGGTTCTGAATTGTGACATCAAGGGGCTCTAATTTCTAACTATGGGGATACCTTGTAAAACAAAATCCCTTCATCCGGTCTGTTTATTGCTTCACCTTGTAATACACCCACAAGATGTGACTGACTAAATGACTGATTGTTTGGTCGAATGATCGATCGACTGTAGCCAACTGAAAACAAAAAAAAACAATGGGCCCAATTTTAAAGCGTACATTGTCCGCTTTGTCTCCGCTTTGTACATTGTCTCCAAGGAGATCAACCTCATAATAAGTTTGTACTTAGAATAAGATGCCCTATCTCCTGGAATGAATCTCCTGGAACAAAGGAGAAGGCCACACACACATCCAACCTTAAGGAGCATAGAGAATGTTTACTATGATATAGCATTTGGCATTCACTGCCATTATACATAAAATCCGCCAGTGTATGGTTTTGTTTCACATTATTTTGATTTTGACTCTTTGCTTTCTTCCACATTTAGGGGTTTTCACCTGGGGATCCTCACAGACTGCCTAGGGAGATTCCTGCGAAGATGAGACTTTTTACCCACTGTGAATCATTCCTACAATCATTCTGATTGGCCAATATTTAAAATTAAGCTATTGGACACTAGTTCTGTTTTCAGTATGTTATAAAAGAAGAATGGTTCCTACTTACTACAGATATCATTTCTAAATGGGAGTCATTACAAACAGTAATTTTACAGTAAACAGTAAAGTTCTCCAGACAGAAAGTGAAGAGTCCCTGTTCTACACAGTGCAGTACAAATATTTTAAGATTACATTTAGTATAGTATTGTTAGGGTATGCACTTCTGTGTACCAAATAACCAATCACTAGGGAAATTTTTCACCTGCTTTTGAAGTCTGAATTAGGTGTAACGTCGCCACATTTTAATTTGATGCTGTTTATAGTATTTCAAGAAACCAAGGTGGTGTGATAAATACTACTCTGATAAGTACTTTCAGTCACAATACAATGCTAAGTGCAGACTGAAACATCACATTAAAATGTTTTTCTGTGTCACACTGTTGAGAAACTGAGGTTTCCGCTTCAATAGGCTAAGATGAATGTCTCTTTCGGAGAAAGAAAGTTATTTCGTCTCCAATATGATATTGATTTTCTGGTAGCTTGCCTTGCAGACACAAGAAACAGCATGAATTACTGCAAGGATACCTTCGTGGAATGAAATTCTTCTCTCTTCTGATGACACAAAGTGTTCCCTTGCTGTGTGCACCACCTTCGGGAGGTCAAAAATCGTCACCATGGACTCAGGGTATTCGCGCACACACAGTTTGGCTAAAGCGCCACTGCAACCTTCCAAGGAAGGAGAGAGAGAGAGTCGGATCAGGTCATGTTGACTGCCGAATGTGCAGGAGCCGTGTCAACACGGAATAAAACTAAGTAAAAGGGAAAGCAAAGACAGAGAGAGGTTGAGTAATTCTCAAAGGAAACAGAAATTAAACCTGAGGGAGGAAAGGACAGGGTAAGGACAACAATCGGTGAAATTCCAGAATTACATGTTAATGTGCCGCCATCGGTCACCTCTGAGAAATAAAGAGAATTCTTTGCTCTTTCTGTGTTACTTTCAGATTGCGTTTACAGTGTGTCGCAGGCCTGTATCTGATGTAAGTACCTCAAGGATTTACCTTGAAAAAGAGCAATGGTTTAGTAAAGCCATTTATGAAGTGTTACCGGGGTAAAAAGAGTATTTTAGCTTTTATTATGGCTTTCCTCTGCTTGATACAAGACTACCTTGCTCTGCACTCTGCTTTATGCTTATAATGGTTTCAATGTGGTTCATTACATGAGGATGGTTTGCCGTAGTAAACATACACAATCAAATTCATCATAAAGCTATTACAATTATCCATCTAACCATTTTCTAACTGTTTTATCCAATTCAGGGGCACAGGAGAAACGGAAGCCTATTCCACCAAGCAACAGGCTCAAGGCAGGACAGAGGATTCAATTTTTCCAGAAGCCAATGAATCTTCCAGTATGTTTTTGGACTGTTGGAGGAAACTACAGCACCTGGAAGAAACTCACATGAACACTGGGAGAACATACAAACTCTACACAGATAGCACCCAAGAAATTGAACCCAGGGCCCCAGCACTGCACGGCTACAGTGCTAACCACTATACCACTGTGCCATCTACAATTACAGTTATATACTATGATATGTCATGGTTTGTTCATAATCTAGTAAACCACAGTGAAATAATGATTTAAACATTTGAAGGCAACACAAACACAGAAGACAATCATGGCAGTATGAAATTACCAGTAGTAAAATTCTATAAGGACTTGTCTGTTTCTTAAACTGCATTTTACTTGGAATGTGATTCTTGACCTTTAACCCTGTTGCTCAAGTCCTGACAGCACTGCACAGCCAAAAGCACATGGCCACAAGCTGCTGTCTGGAAGAGTATTCCGTGTCTATACTAATGGCTTCACAGCTACACCTTGTGGACACCACCTGTAATAACACTTCACAGTAGTGTTCACAGACTTCACAGACAACCTGCAACGAATTATTGATTCACACTTACTGCAGGTATTTTAAAGCCAGATGTCACAATTCGATGAAACATTTTTGTGGGCGGTTGCTGAAGTTGTTCCGAGCACATTTTTTTTTCACACGTCAGGAATATGTGTTTCTGTGTTGTGCAGTTGTACATGAGGGCCATGCATCGGAATTGATGTGTCCTGTGACAAGGTATTCAGTCATACAGTAGTTCTGATAATTGTGCTTTCAGCTACAACCTTTTCATTCATATGAACAAGTGCATGAGCTGATAACTCAAAGTGATTTGAACTGAAGAGAGTAGCTTTAAAGACTGATTAGAAATAGTGCTCAACAGCTTTATTATCAGGGACTACGGGTTTTCTTAAATACAGTACCCTGCTCTAAAATTGCAGTGAAACATAAAGCATAGAAACCTGTAAAAAAACAATGAATTTCTGGAATCAATTTGTTGCTATGCAATATACAGGTGATTTGCTTCTTTTAATCAGTGATATGTAGTGCTTTGAGATGATTGCTTTTAAAGGCACTGCTGTAAATAAAGTTTATTCTTATTATTAAAAACTATGAACAATTTTGCAAAACAAAGAAGTCAAAAAATGAACTATTATTCACAATATTCTTAACTAGAATGCACAGATATCTTTTAATGCTTAGGGAAGAATAAATGTCTGCTATTCTTTTACAAAATATGGAGGGACTGTTAATTGCGACAAATTATATTTTGATTGAAATACGAGAACAATGTAATTACATTATTTTTTTAAAATTGAAAAGAACTTTGGGATGGACAGCTTGTAATCAATCCATAAACTGCAGGGAGATAGAAATGTAAGGGTGAGTGCTACCTACCTCCAAGATCATATATTGTTTTAAAAGGTGAAAGGTCAAAGGCTGTCACAACATCTCTGCCACATATGTTCCAAACTGAGTTCATGAGCTGCATGAACTTTCTCATCTCTTCATCTGACCTGAAAAAGAGAATGAGAAAAATATCAATGAGCAATTTGAAACAAAAACTGTAAAATTGAATACAACATATTTGTTATAATTCTGTAATAATATAAGTCAGTCATTTACATAGCATAGCATGTTTTTGTGGGAATGTTGTTGTTGGAAGAAAATATTCCTCATGTTACTGCAGTGACTGTATGAGATTCTCTTAAGGTATCTGTTGAATGCAATTAAATTATTGATGCTTTCTGCTTCTTTAAGTGAACATGAATAAGTTTGATTTTATTGACATTTGTGCAGCTGCAGTAAACCATACCCCTGATACAATGTACCTCCTTCATTCATTATTTACTCACCAGTATACAGAATATTATAACACCACTTCATGCATGTGAATAGAGCATGAGTACCTTATTATGTGAATGTACGAAAGAAAAAACACAATGCTGCCCAGAGGAAGTAGTGACTGAACAGGTTGGTGTAGTGGCATGGTATTTAGCACTGTTGCCTGAGGGCTTCTGGGACCTGTATTTCATTGTTGACTGGGATACCCTATGTGTGGAGTTTGCATGTTCTCCCTCCACATATGTGGATTTTGTGCTGGACCTCCGGTTTAATCCCATTTTCCAAAGTTGGGTAGGTTAACTGGTGTGTTGAAACAAAGTCTATTTCAAGGTGTAGTCCCACCCCATGTCCTGTGCTTCTGGGACAGACTCCAGTTGTGTTAACTCTTAACAAGGAAAGCCACTTATTCCCTAATGGATGGATAACTGGATAACACATTAATTTTATAGCAGGCAGGATTTTATTCATCTTATCCTGAAATAAGTTTTCTTCAGCGCTTATGCAGAACTCCTCCAAAGCCCCCCAAAAAAAGAAATCCAGGCTCCTTCAGTAAATGAACTGATAGATGCTAGAGCACATGAAACAGGAAATGAGCCTCTCTGAGTGTCCAGGAGCAATGCTGAGGCTGATCCAGTATGCTGCCACTCTGAAAGACCTAAATGTCAAGCTTTTGTTATCTGAAGTGCCCTGAGGGTGGCAGAGTGAGAACCGTGAAATTCCTGCCCTCAGAGTCTGTCTGCAATATTCTAACCTTGGTGTCCATTCGGTTTATGGATACACTTGCAGACAGCTCTCTGAAGCTCTTGTCTCCAGCTATAAAGTGGTTTTCATAAGTCTTCTGTAAAGCATGAAATATTCATGTGGCTTCATAAGTGGCTAAATGTGCACATTAAAACAACCATATGAAACTATGATTTCTGGCAGTGCAAGGAAAGAAGTTGGGACAATTACAGGCTCTTTGTAAAATGCTGCATGTAAGTTATATGATTTAAGAACTGAAGATTTCTCCAATTCAAGCCTATGATGCGTGATTTTCTACTAATCTTATATTAGAATAAATTCATATGTGTAAAGCTTTATCGCCAATAAAGAACAAAATTCACTGTGAGCTTACAGGACATGATGGAACAAAATATCTAATGCCCATTCCTCGTACATCAGAATCTTTCAAATATGTTGTCAGGCTCCTGTTTCTCCTACAGTGAAATGTGGCCTCTAATCTTTTTCTTCCCTGCCCCAGTATCAAGATTCCTCTTACCTCTGAGTCAATTGACAGTCTGAGTCAATATTCAGAGCTAATACCAATGACCACTATTTCCAGAGGATTTCAAGCACTGTGTGAAAATGAGGACTTCACTAAATCATGTGGTTGTAATTAATTGACAATATATCAGAAACCAGCAGGTTTTGCTCAGAGTAAAGAATAAGATGGTCTGAATTATTTACAGTATTTTATTATAATAAAAAAGAAATCCTTACCCTTACATAGTGCTTCCATCACTCAACTCAAAGTGCTTTACAGGTAATAGGGAATCCCCTCCACCAGAACCAATATTCAGCCCCCACCTGGATGATGCAACGGCAGCCATAGTGCACCAGTACACTCACCACACATCAGCTATCAGTGGGGAGGAGAGCAGAGTAATGAAGCCAATTCAGAGAAGGGGATTATTTGGAGGCCATGAGCAGTAAAGGCCAATGGGAAATTTTGTACAGGATGCAGGGTAACACCCCTACTCTTTTCAAGAAACACCCTGGGATTTATAATGACCACGGACAGTCGGGACCTTGGTTTTATGTCTCATCCAAAGGATGGAACCTTTTTTACAGTACAGTGTCCCCATCATTATACTGGGGCATTAGGACTGACATGGACCACAGGGTGAGTGCCCCCTACTGGCCCCACTAACATCTCTTCCATCAGCAACATTAGCTTTCCCAGGAGGTCTCCCATCCAGGTACTGACAAGGCTCACACCTGCGTTAGGTCCGTAGCTTGCCATTTGTGAGCTGCAACATGATATACAGTAGCTGCGAGCTATTATGTCACAAGCAGACAATAAACAATACATACAGTGACATACCAGTGACAGGGGTGGCACAGTGGTGCAGTGGTTCTCATTGCCGACTCGCAGTGCCTGGGTTCAATGTACCTGGGCAATCTGCGTGGAGTTGGTATGTCAACCCTTTCACAGTTCGAAAACATCATCTTATGTTAACTGGCTTCTGGGAAAACTGGCCCTAGGTGCAAGTGTGTGTTTCTCTGTGTGTACCCTGCATTGACTGGTGTCCCATTTGGGTTGTACCCTGCCTTGTGCCCATTGCTTGCTGGGATAGGCTACGGCCTGGCCACCACCCCGAATTGGATGAAGTGGTCAGAAAATGGATGGACGGACTCCAGAGCCTGACACCTCAATAAACGCATTTAATAGAATGCCATATTGCCAGGTGATAAATAATACCTTGTAGCAAACTTGGCTCAGCTGCCCGTGTTAAGCAGAGTAGTAAAGGACTGAATACACAAAGCCACTATGCCAGACAGCAGAGTGAATATTTTTATCTGGGTAAGGTGAGTAATTAAGCCTTGTGCTGTAGTGACTCTGGCAATGGCTCAAATTTAATTTCCTGAGCAGAGCACAGAAAATAGGCCACAAGATGGCAAGCTGAAACTCTTTAAGAGAAACGGAAGGAACGCTTGGCACAAGTAAAAAAGACCTTGGTAACTAGCTTGTAGTTGATAGCAGTCTCAGTAATTAAAAAGACAATTTTATCATCCCATAGAGCTCTCAGGACAGCTAATCCATGGCGTGCACTTACCTAGTCTTTAGAACAAGTAGGATTCTATAAATAGTGCAGTTTTCCATATTGAAGTAATGTCATACAGTTTATCACAGCAGTCTGTATAACAGCAGGTTACTGTAAAATACAGCTTGGGGATGTAGCTTTTGCTAACCTCTCATCCATAAGCTGTTTGGTGCCAGAAAAATTGTTACAGGCCTAGATGGGAGCTTTATGCTCCACAGAGGAAGAGGACAACCCAAGGAATATTAATAAGCTGACGCAGATGAGGAACGGCCATGAAACACGGCAACAAAAACCGAAGTAAAAACGATTTTTTTTCACCTGTACAGAGCATCAAAAAGATCGCAGGAACTGACGCCAAACGCCTTCTCATTCTGGTTTCTCCCTTCTCTGGGAAAAGAAGAGAAGTAAATAAATTAAACCACATTTGGAAATGTGGTGAAGAAAAATTACACTAATCCCCAAATCTCTATCACTCAGCTTGCTTGCAAAGGGCAGCCAGGATAGGCTCAGGACCATTTATTTTATTGACAAGACTATCCATAAGCCCCTGAAGCAGTGGCAGAAGTGTGTGAAAGTTCAAGGGGACTATGGTGAAAATTAGAACAGCCTTCACCCCTGTGAAGCACAGTTTGGAGGATAATGCTCATATTTAGGATAAGTGGCACATATTAAGCGATGTTTTGAATTATCTACTGCCCATTCCTATTTAGTTCTTTCAAGCAAAGTGTCTCTACTTCAGGTTGAAACTACTTCAAAGGGTTCGGGTTTGAACTACACTTTCCAGCAGTTCCACGAGATTTTCGGGGAGTTTGTAATGAACGTTCGGGAAGGATGACAACAACCAAGTTCAATCATACATGCCCGTCAGTATTTAGCAATCACTTCTGATGTCATTTCTTCTCCTAAAACACAATAAACGCCACACGTATTTTTGCATCCCACTTCCACCCCATCTCCACCTTTGCAGCTGGCCCTTGGTCACTCCTCACTCTACATGGGGGTCCCAGCCTCCTCGGCCAGGAGGTCAGCCCTCAGCCAAGTGGGTTAAACCAAATCTTCACTAAACACCCCATAATCCTTTTAGTACATTAATTCTTGGGTGTTGTTATTCCTAATAAAAGTAGGATTGTTCCAGCATGGGAAGGAGATGGAAGTCTGTCTCATGTTCCTCAATTCTGTACTTGGGGCAATATCTACCTGAACTTTGTATGTTCTACCTGTGTTATTGTGGGTTTCCTCTGGGTGCTCCGGTTTCCTCCCACCATCCAAAAACATACTGGTAGGTTAACTGGCTTCTGGGGAAATTACCACACATGTCTACCATGGAGAAAGCCTTCTCATTGGATTGGAAAGTTGTTGATTTGTATTCCAGGAGGTGCATATACAGCCCATATGAAATTACTTTTTTTTCCAGACAGCCAGAATGTATTAAACATACTTCTCAACTGTCTTAAGGCCACTTAATGCCACTAAAGAAAAGTAATTAACAGTGTTTGCGGTGCGATATTATCACAACGATGGAAAAAATGGAATGAAAGAAACTATGAAATTTTAGGGTGCTCAGCATTGGTTCAAACTTGTCTTAAGTCGATTCTGTTTCCCAGTTAAAAACAAGTCTGCTCTGCTAATACCAAAACAAGGCAAGCTAGCTTCACTTCGCATCACAGCCACCAAGAGATTTGTATAATTATATACCGTATTTGTACATTATGTCGACAAGCACATTTGCATATTTTTCAATAAAGAATTGCCTCACAGGGCTTTTCTCTGTAAGTCATCTTTACCGCAACTGTATTTTTGGACAATAATTTGTTTTTTAGTTGCATTTACATAATAGCTGTTCACCAATGGGTTAGTGTTGCTGTCTCACAGCACTGGGGCCCTTTGTTAAATTCCAGACCTGGGCAGCTATCTATGTTGAGTTTGTATGTTGTCCCTGTTTTTGCCTGGGGTTTCCTTCCCAGTTCCCCGGTTTCCTTTCCCGGTCCAGAGATACACTGGTATGTTAATTATCCTCTGGTTAATTAGCCCTGGTGTGAGTGTGTATATGTCGGGTGTGTGCCCAGTGACTGGTGTCCCATCCATGGTGATTGCTGTCTTGAACCCATTGCTTGCCAGGATAGACTCTGGTTCTCCTGCGACTCTAAAGTGGATGAAGCTGTTAGGAAATGGACGAGCTGATGGATGTTAACTAATGTAACTGCCCCTACTATAATGGAATAAACATTACTGTATAGCTTAATACAGTGGAGAAACATACAGATTCGGATACAGAAGGCATTCCCCATTTTGTGTACCTTTTGCAGGTAAATAATAATGGATGCTGAAAACACAAAAATAAGCATACAGCTCGAGCACTTGGCAATGTTAATGTATTTCCTTTGGCTCCATTCTCTGTAATGCAAATAGCTGAATACAGTAAAGCATTTCATTGTTATTCTGTTTTCTGCATCACTTGCCAGAGACAAAGCGTGATTTCAATACAAAGCAATCTGAGATGCTATCACCTGGATCTCTCAATAACTCGGAATTTAAGTATAACAATAGTGGATTCTAGGGATTCCTAATCTGTTAGGATCAATCTGATCCCTCCTCCCCCTTTGCAAATACATGAACAGATAGTGTCCCCAAAATTCACATGGATAGCAGGGAACATACAGTAAGTACATGACTCCCTTTCTTTTCCTTATTCATAACCATTTAATGTATCTGTGTATTTTAGATCATCGGTACATTATAGAGCTTTTTCCTATGATATTCTGAGCTTTGTGGACCAAATAAAAGGGATGTAATTATACCCGACACACATCTTTTTAACAAAACTGCAAATTCAATACTGCATGGTGTGCAAATCACTTACTTATTGAAATAAGGTCGCTTTCAGTTTCCTACTGATGTGCTCCCGCCTGATTTCGCACAAAGTAATGTAATTTGAAGTTTCTGTATCTGACGTGAAAAGAAATATCAGCATATATATTGAGGCCTTAAATTGCTTTCTACAGAGAATACACAGAAGTAACCAGATATCTGTTAACAACACTGAAGCACTGGCAAAGCAAACCCAGCATCACATCCTTCACAGAGTTTTTCAAAACCCTCAAGGGTACAGACAAGGTCAACCAGCAGATTCTTTCAGAGTGAACACTGGAACAGAGCCTGAGGACACAAGTGGAAATTACAGTACACGAAGTGCATTTAAAACCAAGAACAGGAGGCACTTTTTACCTAAAGGGCTGTATGTGTGTGGAAGAAGCTACCCAGCCATGTTGTTGAAGCTGAAACCCTGACTTGCTTCCAGAAACATCTGGATGAGATCTTGGGATTAATTAGCTAGTAACTACCAAACAAGCTTGATGGACCAAAAAGCCTCCTCTCCTTTGTATCTGCTCTTTTATTCCTGTGTAGAATCAAGCAACGGTTCAATCAAAGACTTTAAATAAGTGCTGCTGGATGAGTGGGGCAGCATTAGAAGTGTGTATTGACTTTGAACGTGAAAGACTGAAATACAGTGGAAAACAAGAACTGGAGTCCCATACTGTGTGAAATAAGAATGTATCCATGTAAAAGCATGTCTCTGTGTTCTATTTTCAAATATATATTTTGTTTTGTTGGCAGTTATAACAGCAGTCTTCTAGATTTGTGTCCATCTCTCCATTATCTAGCTGCTTCATCCAGTTCAGAGACTGTAATGAGACTCATTACAGGTTATATTGTGGATAAGGAAAATATAAAATGTGCTGAAGGAGATTCAGGACGAAACTTTTTTATATTTAAAAACACACACAATTGGTTGTGTTCAGGTTATATATTCAAGAATGAAGAAATTACCTCACAGCATCAGTCAGGTAGTGCCAACACAGGTAGATAGTCTGGGAGTTGTACTGGATGGAGTGATATAAAGACTTTGGACTTGTTCTGGTCAGGTAAATGTTGGAGAGCTCTGTGTTACTGTAGAGAGCTAAAAAGAGAAAAAAGTAAAGATGGCAATATTTAGCCAAGTATAACTGCTTTTGAAATGAGATTATTTTTCATTTGATGTGGTTTCTTTTATAAAAATACATATTTTTGCCGCCTCAAAGAAACCACACAACCAAGCACTGCATAAGTAACTTAAAATGTCATTTTTTCTTATCCTTATGAAAGTGTTTTACTCAATTTCAAAGTAATAGATTAGGTTTCTTACCAAGCCTATTTCATACGTTAGTAAAAGGAAAAATGTACAGTAGCTCTACTGCATATAATTTGCATTCATTTATATGTGCAATATGAGTTATGTTTAAAACTCTCCAAGACAATATGCTGGCCAAGTCCCATGTGACCCCTGGAGGATTAATGAGTAGGAGGAAGCATGTAGATCTCTCAGTGCTGTCTGTTTCCACACGCAAGTGGGCTTTCCAGTTCAGCTGTTTATCTTCAACAGGGAAAAACATGTCCAGGAGATGTTATTTCAATACCGTGTTTCCCGATTGTCAATATTACTTATTATAACATGGAATACGTGAGCAACTAGAAACACCTGTCAGCCATTTGTCCCAGTACTGCAATGCCCACCTGAAATGGAGGACTGAACGCAACAATTGAGATTGCTTAATCTCAATCATATATGGCTACATACTGTACTGTATGTACTTGTAGGCACACAAAAATCTAGAAATAATACCTGACATTCTGTACTATTAAGGAACAAGTAATAGGTTTATTCCATGCTGAAAAGAGAACAAAAGAAAACACATCATTTCGGCTGTGGAGGGCTTACCCCGAAGAAGGCTCCACAGTCAAAACTTTGTGTTTTCTTTCTTCTCTTTTCAGCATGGAAAAAAACTATTACTTGTTCCTTTGCAGCCTATGACGCAGCTCCCCACCAGAACTACATTCTGTACCATTGCCTAATATAGACAGTATATATTTTAATCTGAAATTGACAAAGCACAAATGACTAATTTCACTTCACTGTCCCAATTTTTACCCTTTTCACTGTATTTTTCTTTCAAGGAAAGGGTGATAAAACATCTTCTGGCCCAGTTTCATCAACTGAGATATATACTGCATATCTAATGTACAGGCACACTGCTTGTGCTGTAGACACATTTTGAATTATTAAAAAGCCTTGCCAATACCTGTTGTACAAAAGTAAGAGTCCAGGTCATGATGCTATTTTCGCTCCAAGATCGACAACATCCAGCATCATGTTCTCTCCACTACACAAGTCATTTCCATACCTCCTCCCTCCTTATCCAACTTTTCTGATTCCCTTCTCTCCAGCTTCTCTCTTCTTGACTCAGCATCCCTCAATAAACTACACGCATGAAACCCACCATATCTATTTTAGATCCCATTCCCACCACTTTATTTAAGTCCTGTTTCTCTTCTCTCTGTCCCACTGTCCTCAATATTATAAATGAATCCTTGAGCACTGGCATCGTACCAATGGTCCTCAAAACTGTTGCCATTACCCCCGTGCCAAAAAAGCCTAACATGGCTCTCGACAATCTTAGGGCTTCGAAAAGGGTATTTGCCATGAGGCGGTTATGTAACTGAAATGTGACAGCACGTTCTATAATTTTCGCCCCATCTCCAACTTACCCTTTCTTGCAAAAATGATAGAATGTGCTGTCACACTTCAGTTACATAACCACCTCATGGCAAATACCCTTTTCGAAGCCCTCTAATCTGGCTTCCGTCAACTTCACAGCACAGAAACTGCCCTGATCAAAGTCACTAACGATCTTCTAATAGCTTCTGATTCTGGTTCTCTTTCTATACTCATCCTTCTTGATCTCAGTTCTGTTTTTGACACTGTTGACCATGACATCCTACTTTCTTGTCTTGAGACTGTGTTTGGAGTTTCTGACGCTGCTCTCAAATGGGTCAAGTATTACCTCACTGATTGCTGTCACTTTGCCTCTCTTAATGGGTATACCTGTAGGTCTGAAATCGGTCTTGTTAAGTCTGGTGTTCCTCAGGGCTCAATACTGGGTCCCTTGCTCTTCAGCATCTTCAGCAAATTTCCACTTGGTCAGCTTTTAAGATCACATGGCCTCAGCTGTCATTTCTACGCTGATGATACTCAAATATACATCCATACCAAACCTGACACTGATGTGGCTGTCTCTATTCTATCTAATTGCATCTCTGACATAAAAACTTGGATGACTCAAAATTTCCTTTATCTTAACTGTGACAAGACTGAAGTCATGCTTATTGGCACCCCCCATCAACTTCGTAAAGCCAATCCTGTAACCCTATCTGTAGATGGTTCTGTACTTGAGCTTCAGTCTAAATTGAAAAACCTTGGGGTGATATTCGATTCTGGGTTAACATTCGATCCACATGTGCAGCATATTGTCAAAACATATTTTTTTCACCTCAGAAATATCGCTAGGCTACGCCCTAAGCAAACACTTACTGTGACTGAATAGCTGATCAAAACATTTGTGTTCTCTCGAATTGACTTCTGTAATGCTCTTCTCGCTGGGGTATCTAAATCTACTCTGAACAAACTGCAGTATGTCCAGAATTCAGCAGCCAGAATCCTGACCAGGTCTAGTGTTCACATTACTCCTATCCTGGAGTCCTTGCACTGGCTTCCGGTCAAATTCCGCGTAGACTTTAAAATCCTCATGCTCACCTATAAGGCTCTGCATGGCTTGGCACCTCAGTACCTGTCTAAACTATTATCGCCTTACTCCCCACCTTGCAACCTTTGGTTTTCTAATTCTGGTCTCCTAACTGTCCCCCAAGCCCATCTACATTGTATGGGTTAGGGCCTTCTCCTGTTATGCCCACAAGCTCTGGAACTCTCTGCCCAAGGATATCAGAGAGTCACCTTCTCTAAACTCCTTCAAATCCAGACTCAAAACCCTCTTCTTTAGAAGAACCTTTACTTAACTGGTTCCATTCTTCACCCCTCTGCTTTTCTTCCATCCACAGTCTCCTCCGTATATTGTAACTGTGTTTTATGTTGTGTATTCTTTTTATTTATTGTTGTTCTCATTCTGTAAAGAGCTTCGAGAAGCCACCTTTAAAGGTGCTATATAAAAAAAGTTTTTTATTATTATTATTATTTTTGCCATGTTTCAGAGTTTGTTCTGAAGTACAAAGATAAGCCAGGAGAGCTTTGGAAAAAACATTTCATAGATAAAACCAAGACAAACCGAGTTGATGGAAAGGATAAAGTTAGAGAAAGACAGGAGCTGCAGATCCTCCAAAGAACATGACTTCATCCGAGTCATGAAGGCATGGTGGAGGTGATTAAATCTGCATGGCAGCCTTTGGAACTGACTCCCTACTCTTTATTGGTGAAGTGATCAATGCTTACTAACAAATGTATGAAACACTTAAATTCTTTATACTGCATATTGCAGTCCACTTTCCTCTGAAACACATACACATATACTTTATACAGAGAGAGAAATAAAAAAATGATTTAACTGTGACTGTCTGATAAGACTGTGTCTTAAAATAATATACAGTACTCAGTATTAGGTACCCCAACTCAGAATGGTGTTTTTATTAGGGAACAAAAAAGTAGAAACAATGCTAAACATTATTCTTATTCCAATGGGAACCAGTTGAATTTATCAACTGGTTTAAAATGGTAGTTCTAGTTATAAACTGCTCACCAGTTGTTAACTACTGGGAATCTAATAACTACCAGTTGAATGTAAACTGACTGTTTAGATGTGGTGCTGCGATAAATCTCTACCGGGCTTTGAAATTTTCTGGACTGGAAGATACCGATCACCAGTAGATAGCAATTGAACTTTTCCTATTGCAGTTTCTTCTAGGAATGGTTAACGCACAAATAAAATTGCTGTGAACCTATCCAATACTAGAAACCATACTGTGCAAAATCCAAAAGACTTTTTTCCTGCCACACCTGTTTGACCTAATTACGTATTATAATCAAAAACCATTTTAGATTGTTCTATTTCAAGGTGAAACAGTATGGGAACATTAATTTGCATTTGCACCCAAATTTTGTTTTGCTTTTTGTTAAATACTGTACATACAAAGCAGTATCAGTAAAGCTGCTGATTTTAGGCATATCAAGCAAATCAGGTAACCTAGATCATTTTTAAATTGACTCTTACAATCTGATTTTCATAAAATGTAAACGTCTGCTGCTTCTTCTGTTCATCTTATAAAGGCACGTTCATGAACAGAACTGGGTACTGCTTCACTATGAATATCAAATAATGCGGCAGAGAGCACAGACCAGTGGCCAGAGTCTAGACAACATAGTTTCACGCAAACGCCTTAGTGTGCATTTGGTTGTGCTCCAAAAGTTCTCAGATGTTTCAAGCCATGAATCCATTGTGTTGAAATAATTCTAATGTTACAAATATGGCAAAAAGACGTTACTTGAGTCGTGTCTTTACCTTGCTAATAAAACCTAGCCAGGCAGAACCATTCAATTTCAGACTTGCTGCGTCTCGGCAGCTCTAGGCAGAAGTTTAGCAGCCTCAGGGGGTCAAAACAATATCGTTAGATGATGTCAGCACAACCCGCTTGCGGGGTCCTGGTAGGGCACATGAAATGCTTTCGCTCGGTACCTTCTCCGTTCTGCGTGTGTGCGTGCAGGAGCTGTAGCCCGACGCAGGCAGCGAGTAGCCTCTCCATGCCGTCCACGCTGGTCTTCAGACCCCCGGCAACTTCGGCTGCCGATCGGGGCGGCCCCGCCTGCAAGAAGTCGAACACGCCAAGCTCACAGGCAGCAAACAGAGTCTGCAGACGAGAAGAAGTTACTGGTATGCAGGTACGCTGTTTTGTCCTGCACAGAAAAAATAAATCAGCAACGTGTAGCTATCCCAGCCCCAGTCCCAGATTGTTTGGTCCTCTCTGGAAGAAACTTTGCATTCATTTCACCAAGATGACTTGTGACTCTCTTAGACGAGCAATTAAGCGTCCCTTAAAGATGCGTTGTGATGTCTGAAACCGAGAATCGCTGTCTTTTTAACACAGGGGGTGCAACAGAAGCCACATTTATTCCTTATAGCTGCCTCAAGGGAAGAGCGATGGTGCGAGAAGGGACAATACCTTGACATGGACAGGATACGTGTCCACTGCAGGGCACACACAGCCAGGCACCATTTAGAAATACTAGCAAACCCAGCTAGCATGTCTTTGGAAGGCAAGAGAAAACTAGAGCACCTGGAGAAAACCCCATTACATCTGCTACCATGCTGCTCTTCCACTATCAAATCAAACCCAAGAGATTTTTTTTAGCACTGGCTGTTCTCCAGGTATGCTATTTTTTCCATGGCCTGCGACAATTAGCTCTACTGTGCTGGTGTACAGATCAGTAGAATAGGTGCTGTTGTGGTTATGCAGTGAGTGACTGCAAATGAAAAAGAACAGATGTTTTCTCAAAATAACACATATTGCTTCTCAAAATACTATGGAAAAATCAGAGCAATAATTTTTAGCATTTACTGTGATTCCTCGAGGGTAGAAGACTCTCTTGCAAAAATGGTTCCATGATTCTGTTCCCAAATCCCAAAGCAAAACAACTTTTCCCACAGTCCCATCTCCTACACTCAAAAGGATACAAATATATAAACTGATTCTTTAAAAAATATTTTATTTTTTGTTTATTGATATATGTGGAAGTGAATTTAAAACTAACAACAGGTAGCATTTCTTTACACAAAGGGTTGTGGGAGGGTGGAACAAGCAATACAAGTTATGTTGTAGAAGCTGATCCCCCTGGCTTCTTTCCGAAAACAGCTGGGACTACTTAACTACTAACTACCAAACAGGAGAGAGAGAAGAAAATGGCTCTTTTAACCTTTTCTATGTCCTCATATGATGTGACCTGGGTAGCTCACATCATGCTATTATATAATTATATAATTCCATCATATAACATCAGTGATTACTTATGTTCATGACAATTTAAAACAATCATCAAACAGTAAATTTTCCTGAAGTTTTAATAACATTTTACAACATGTTCCAAGTGACACAGTTGTATATTTGTAAATCTTGCAAAACTGCAGTCAAACTCATGAAGTACATTACACAAAATGTAATTGGTAAAGAATATACACAAACATCATAGGTAGAATAATAGAATATTTAAAGTTCTCACTGCACATTATTCATTAATGTTTTGAATTGAATTTTCGCCTGGTACCTCAAATGTGTGTTTTTCAGATTAAAAAAATAACTCAACCAGGTCATCAAAACAAAGTGCTACTTGAACATTATTTGCAGGACAGCCTTCTCTTCTCCCAATCCCAATACATTAACAACATAAAGCTTGCTTGAAAACTAAAATAGAAAATTCCAGTATTTCATGAAATGTATCGCTTTTATTGAATTGGAATGTTGTTGGACATTAACTTCCATAAAGGAAAATCACCTTAGTTTAAAAAAATCTTAAATTTGAATATCAATGAACAATGCTGGTAGAATTCACTAGTATGCTACCAACAGAATCTTGTATTATTCTGGTATGAGTTAATAATACATCTGAATAGACATGTGAAATACCAGAGCCCATAGGAAACTTAATCCCTGCTATTGCATTCATTAATCTAAAAATTAACCCATTACATTTAATTTAATATTAAAGAAGCCTTTTCCTTTGTTTTACCTTGGACACAAGGAAGCCTTCCATATAATCCAGTATCTTCCTTGGGTACTCAATTTCACTGACAGAATTCATCTTGGCTTTTTCAAGGGAGAACCCGTCTGCTCAGTTCAGACAGCTAAGGACAGCTTTCTGTACCAGTACACAATGGTAACACTGGATGACTGGTTAAGTTTTGCAGGACACTGTTTCTTTAATTATGTCTCAGAGGTTATAACAGTGATGCAAGATGCAATAATCAGATAAAGAGATTAGTGGTTCAGAAGGGATTGCAGAACAAGGGGGCATTTCATTTTGTTTGCAGCTCAGGTCTTGGGGTACCAGCATCCCACAGAGGTTGTGTAGGGATTTTCATTTACGTGACTTTTTAATCAGACTGAATGCAGGATAAAGCAAAACACTGAGCTCCACAGAAAGAGAGAGGGCACTTAAACTGTGATCACATTAAAATAATTAATGAGAAACAAATGTCACCCTTCAAGGATAGGACAACGTCTCTTCACTACAAAGTAAACATACAATGTAGGTGAGGTTGATACGTGAATCTTACTATTAATATCCAGTGTTATTCAGCAGCATATTTATATTAATGCTACGGCTTGAAGAAATAAATGATGGTGAAATAAAAAAACAGCAAAGGACATTATGCAGCTTTTTATTTATAATGGACTACCTGTCATGGTAAAAGTAACAAAAATGCCTAATTTCAAAGAAATATAATTACAATACTACTATTAAAAATATAATAAAATGGAACAGGTAAGGGTTTATTCCATGCTGCCTATACTGTACAATGCTGACGCAGCTACCTACTCAAGCGTCATATAATAAAATGTACTGAGACAGGTAATTTGGTGTTTGTAACTCCAAGACAAATTGAAAGCCACTCTAGATGTAAAGGACCTAATTTCCTGAAGCATATACACACTTTTCCTGTTGCCTCAATACTCTGAAAGCAATTTTTTAGAACTCTTTTATTAATGTGCCCTCATGGTTTACCCTCCTCCAATGGTGTGAAAGTTGTTTTGCGGCTACCGTTTTACCTTGATCAAGGTTGGCACTGCCCCGGTGCCCTCTTTTTTAACTCAAAGCCCCTTTCCATCTGTCCCTTTTCTGTGCACAAATTGTATTTATCACAATTAAATCCCTGTGTGGGTCCTAATGCCCCAGTATAGTGGCAGGCATACTATATTGTAGTGGGTACAATCTTTGTGGATGAGACATTAAACTGAGGTCCTGACTCTCAGTTGTCATTAAAGATCCCGGCCTTTTCTCGATAAGAGTAGGGAGTTATCCCGGTGTCCAGGCCAAATTCCCCCCCTTGGCCTTTTCCGTGGCCTCCGAATTGTCCCCATGTATGATTGGTTTGGAGTTGCCCTGTGATGGACTGGTGCCCGTCCAGGGTCTACCCTGCTGTGCGCTCACTGCTTGACTAATAGGCTCCTGCTTCACGCTACACCGTATGGTATAAAGCGGTCTGGCAAATTACATGACAATTAAATGCATTCTTACAGCACTCTTCCTCCCAAAGGTTCACCTTCGTCACTCTGGAGTGTGAAAAGTCTCTAGCAATTGAATAAAATTATACCAAGTCCTTCAAGTGATCTATTCACAGTGATGGGTTCCAATTGTATAAGAAAAAGCATATGTGTGTAATTCTTTAGCTTCTTAATAGCTTTTTTTAGTGCTTAGTTGTCACAGACCAACCACTTAACACTCAAATAGAAACAAGCAAAGAAGTTGTAGTCTGGCCTTAACGTCACTTTCACTTAATGCTTTGACAAATACACACTGGATTCTACACATACATATCAAAACTTTGTCACGCTAGCAGAAGTTGTCTTTCTTAAGCCCCCAGATTAGAACCTCTTAGTAGAGAGTATCAGTACAGTATCAGAAATGACTTCATACATTTTAAGTACACTGAACCACTTAAAAATGAGTTTAAACCCAAGTGCTGAAACTTATAAATGACCCTAGAAACAGGTGATAAGGATATGCAAGTCAATGAAAGTCCAAGTCAAGCCACATACTTGAAAGATTTTTAATTTCAACACAGACACTTTCTGTTACACTGCTTTATTTTTATAGACCAGGGGAACATATGATGTATTACATCCAACAAATAAAACATAATGCATAGCTAAATGTCACACACAATGGGTATTTCCAACATGGGATTTTATAAAGGCTGGGTCTTGGTCACACTGTATATACTAATTAACTTTGTTAGTATCATGACATGCATCCAGCCGTGTCAGGCAGGAGACGGGGTTTGAATCGTCATTGGAGGAGAGAGCTTTTTCCTATTGGTATTGTAGGATTGTGGAACAAGATACATGGCGCGTTGGCTGAGGATCCTCAGGTGAGATGGATCTTAGGAGATTCAAGAATTGTAGATTCTTGGATTTTACCTTCTAACTAGAAGGAACTATATGGAGCCAAATACCCTCCTCTCATTTGTAAATCTTCTTAAACTCTTATACTACAACACAAAAAATGCACTTGTGGTCTCATCTCTAGCAGGTGTAAATCCTGGGTGTGATTTTGTAACATTTCCCTGAGTAGTCACCTGAAGGCAAACGTGTAATTATAGGAAAGATGTTCTGAGACTGAATTGATCAATTCCACAATAGTAGCACCCAATAGGCTAAAATTACAATAAAGCAGTCAATGTCAAAATATTAATCTTAAGGCAGACTATGTAAAAGTTTATTCAATGCAGCCTGTTGGGTAACTGAAAAGGTCACATTCATTTTGAAATATTTTCCCATTATATTTTACTTATCCTTTGTCAGGAGTCAGTTTAAAGCTGGACTGGGTGATATAATCTGATGGAACAAATGTTGTGGCAAAAGCATAAATTCATTTAATTCTTAGGCTCAAACACTAAGTGGCTGAGATAAAACCTGTAAAATTAATGGTGCTTTGTTGGAGCACCTTTCCCAGATCACACTGGCCAACTAACCTTCATCCTTGACTTTACTGGTAAAATCTTTAATCGACAACTCATTTTCAGCAGAAAGGCTTTTCTTCACAGTTATTTGACAAATTCCACCCCAGAACAGTTTGCTAAAATCATCAAAATGTTTCAACAGTAAAGATTTGAGTCTCCAGAGATAAAAATCCAGAGAGAGATCTTCATTGTGTGTTAACGTCATGGGGGACAATGTGTAGCTCATCATGAATACGAGTATTGACCGGCATCGCATTGCGAATGATAAAAACACATAGTGGAATCAGGCTCTTCCCATATGATGACATGGAGAAAGAGTTAAACTATAAACCACTCCTTGCCTTACCCTCTGTGCTCAAATATGTTTTACAGTAGTGGTGCACAACTCCAGGTCAGCATGTCTTATAGGTCTCTATCTGCAGCAACTAAAGAACTGGTCTGTTAAACTGGTCTACTTAAGACAGCAAGAGCTCTGTGATAGCTTTCTGGGATGGAGTTGCACAGCTATTTCAGATCAAGTGTGACCCAGTTCCAGGGGTGACTCCACACAAACCGAGTGGTTTGAGTTCATGTTACATGAATTATATTTGTATTGCTTCCAAGGGAAGCTTGAAACGATTGTTAGTAATAAACCTAAGTCATAGGATTGCTATTGGTGCTTAATTATTTTAACATTGTTTTACTTAAAAGTCATGAAATAAGGGAATCAAACTTTTTAAAACACCGAATGGACAGAGGAGTAACTATATTTTAGTAATTCTACATTAAAAGTTAATTTGACAATTGTTTGGGCAAACAACTTGACAGCTAAGTAACCCTATATTACAGTTGTATCCAGCAAGTAAATTCAATAAATGAAAGCACCCAAATGAGCCCACTGATCCAAATGCTTCTCTCTTGTATTCTTTATTCTATCCTAATTGAAATAAAGTCATGGCACCTGATCTTTTCTTTTCAACATGCAAAACGGAAACAAAAACATATGTGGTTGATTACTAATTGTATTGATTAAAAATCCTTAAACAGAACTTCATCACTTTAAGCAGTTCAGCATAAGTTTAGAATATTAAGATAATTAAGAACACTGTTAAGAAACACTTTTTATTTGCTAGTGCAAATTACAATATCCTTATTCACCAGGGGGTGAGGTTTGTCAGCCAAGCCCCTCACTGAACCCATTACCACACGGGGTCAAAATAATCTGAAAGCATCGTTTAGATGTAAGATAGCCGATGCCGACTGTTCAGCAAACCTGTGGAAGAGAGACATTGTTGAAAAAAAACAACAGAGTTGGGAGTAATTCCAAAACAGATTTGAGCAGCTGTCAGAGGGTGCATGGTGCTTTAACTGACATCACAAATAGCAAAACTATTCGTCAGGCAAGAGAACACCTGTGTACCCTATTGCATGAACAGGATACTTAATGGTTCTTTGAAGGTTTGGGTTTCATTTCAACTCCTTAGAAAACAATACAGAACGCAGAGCTAAAATTATTTGGGGATCAAATAGTGTCTGTTGCTTGTGAAAAACAAATGAAAAATTATATGGCCACTTTTTCACACATACTATAAATATATTTTAGTTTATCTTCGTTAGGTCCTCCAGCGTGATAATGGATAAATCGAATTGGTCTCAAGAAAGATTAATATAGAAATATTGAGGCGTTTTTCCTTCAAATTTCCTTCATGAGTTCATGAATGCTACTATCATGACAACAGAAAAATACACCGTAGAGCATGTTTTTTATGCCCTTAATGGACATTTGGAGATCTGTCTAAAAGTCATTAATGTACTGATGCAGTAATGAAGTAGCAGTATTCTTCTTTGCAACATCTACTGCATTCATTGTAACCTTAACTAATAAACAGCCTGGCTATTAGAGGCCTTTATACATGCTGGTTTTAAGTCTACATACCACTAAAGCATTAAGTGCCGTTGTTCAGTGATGTGAGCATAATGTTTTAATAGAGAAAACAGAATTTCCTGAGCGTTAATCTATAGGTAAAACTAGAAAAATACTTTAAAATCTCCAAGGCTGACTCATATTCTTTTGAAATACCAAAATATTGGATAAAAAGTTATACTTTCAGCACTGTTGAAAACATTTAAATAAAAGTATTCAAAATATTTTCAGAAAAGGGCAAAGACAGGAGAGGAATTACATTTTTCCTTTTAATGAAAAACAAAATGTATTTTTGGTCCCTAAAGCCAAGAACTCATGCCCTGCTGTATGAAACTGTAAATTGCTGGCTTGCTTGGGTGAAGTCCTCTTCTTCATGTCAGTAGTCCAGAAACCCACGCTGTGGTCACCCCTGTGACGGCTCCAACAAGGAACCTCAGTCCTGCTGCCCAGAGAGCTCCGGAGCTCCTGGGCCCCGCTTACCGGCCTTCCTCTCTCCAACAGCTTTTGTGTGCTGCACTGGACCGAGAGTTCAGTGTCCCTGCAGGCTGCTCTTAGCTCCCATCTCGATGGCGGTGGTGTCTCCTCCCTCTCCTGTGCCCGCTCGTCTCCCGGGTTGAGCTGTGGCTGCGGTGCCTGTGCCATCGGTGCCCGCTGGAGTGCCTCCTGGAGCTGCTCCGGCTCCGGCTGCGCCAGCCGTCGGCACTGCTGGAGTCCCTGCAGCGGCTCCTCCTCTCCCTGCTCCTGTCCCTTCCCCCCGAGCTATGGCGCCGTCTGCGCCGACCGCGCTCCCTGTCCTCGCGGCTGGAGTTCCGGTGCCTCCTTGCTCGGCCGCCCTGCTGACGTTGGCCCGATCGGACCCCGTCAGCCTTTTTCTCAGAGGTCCGGGACCGAGGGCTCGGGTCCTTATTTTCCTCTGTGCACTCATAACCATTCACCGGGTTACACACCCCTCCATCGAAAGCCCCGTTCGCCATGGTGTCTGGACAGACGGCGCCGGCGAGGTGCTCGGGCTTTTCTGAATCGGAGAAGAAATCTGCGGAAGTGGGCCGCCCAGTCGGGCCTCTGGGGGCCGCTCCCTGGCCCCCCTGCAGCTCCGGCGCGCTGCTCTTCTTCAGGAGGTTGCACAGGAGTCTCTCCCTGAGCTCCCTCTCCCGCCGCTGCAGCTCCAGAGCCCGCGCCTTCTCCTCCTCCACGCGCCGCAGCTCGGCCTCCTGCAGCTGGCGCCTCTCCTCCAGCCGCAGCAGCCTGGCCCTCTCCGCCTCCAGCCGCTCCTGCTCCTGCTGCTTCTGAGCCTGCCGCACACACAAGAGCACCGCGGGGGGGGTCACAACGCGCACAGGGCGCCGCACGGCTTACCGCTACTACCGCTCAAGCAGGCAAACGCCAAGCACTGCGGAATAAGATAACGCATGTGTGAAGGCATCCCTGAAAGGGCTCGCTAGGTTGCTTGATTTTGTTCAACACTTTCTAACCACTCTATCAAATTCAGGGTCACGTAGGAGCCGGAGCCTATCCCAACAAGTCGCAGTCACAAAGCAGGATACACTCCGGATGGGAAGTCAGTACATTGTGGGGCACACTGGGACACATAGGGCTGAGTTCTTCCAGAAGCCAATTCAACTTTCCAGTATTTCTTTGGACTGAGGGAGGAAAACCACAAGAACGTGGGGAGAACATGCTTACCTTGGCTCTGCTAAGCAGTTCTGCAATAAGTCGAATGGATTCCAGGTTCCGCTGGGCCAGTAATACTTTCCTCTCTTCCAGTGCAATCTTCACCTGCAGTTTCTTCTGCTCCTCAGCTTGGTGCTTTTGGAACTTTTTGAGGTTTTTCTTCTCCTCACGTTCTTTTTGCTTCTGCTCCCTCTTCCTCAGCTTCTCCTCCCTTTTCCTCTCCTTCTCCTCCTCCTCCAGCTCTCTCTTTTTCCTTGAGGAAGAAATAACATAAACACCAAGAAGAAACCATGTATACACAAGTGGTTTCTGTAGGTTTCTCCACACTAGTCCTGAAATCACGGAAAGTACACCTCATGCAGTTTTTACACAAATAGCTGGACAACTCTATAAATGATCTATATATTAGATTATTTAACATTGCAGTACAATTCACAACTATAGATCGTGAATGCTGACCACACTATACCAGGGCATATCTGGGAAGAAATATCTTCATTTGAGAGTAATCATCACTTGGCTACATGCATGTTTCCAATGAAGTCCCAAATCCTCTGCAAGCACACAATAATGGCAGCAGTACACAGAGAAAGACAATTGCGTAGGAGGCCAGAGGGTATTAAATGTTCTTTTTTTGCTGGTCACACGGTACAAGGTTAGTAAGAGGGAATTGTCATGATGTACCGTGGTTGTGTTGCTCCTCCTTTCCCATCATGCATCTATAACAGACATGAGTAAAGGTCTGCCGTTACCTCTCTTCCTCCTTCCGCTTCTCCTCTTCCTCCTTCTCTTTCCGTTTCTGTTCTTCTCTCTGGCGCTCCAGGTCCTGGAGCTTCTGTCTCTCCTGCTGCCGCTTCTTTATTGCGGTATCGCTCAGGTGCTTGGTGGTGTCAAAAGTGATCTAGGAATCGCAACAAAAGCAGGTCTCTGAAGATTTAGCACGGCAGAGGCAGACCACGTTTCCACTGCCAGACATTTTAAGGACAAATTCCTTCAAGTGTCCAGCTGACAAAAATGTTAGGCAATTCAGAGTGATCCCGAGAGAATTAGAAAGGAAAAAGGGAAAACTCAGTAGCCGAGTGTAGGGGAGGTGAAAATCTTGGCTTTTCCAGTCCTTGCCAGTTCAAGGTTTTCACTGCCTCAATAATTACTACTGAATTGATCCGTAAATCATAATTCACACTGCTGTTAGAGACCATTTCAACAGTTAGGAAACGGGTGCAATGTGGTAGTTAGTACAACTGCTCAATATGTATTTAACCCAGGAAATCTTTTTTCTTCATCTAGCAGAATTCTTCATTACAATAATGAAGCCCCTTTTTTAACTTATCCATTTGCACGATTATAATTATTATTAAACAAAACTCTGCTCTTAAACTGTCAGAGATTTCAGATTAGCTTTCAAATTTTAGATGCAATGTAGAACTAGCAGCAGTTATATTAATTCTCATAAGCATGTAAAAATAAATGGCTTATGAGCTGGAACAAAGCCCTGACATAAACAGTGTTCTCCTTCTCTATTTTCACTGGCTGACAAGTCCCATAAACCCACAACTTTACAATTGGCCCATAATTGTCTCATTATTTTAGTGGATTTGTATTTTTTCTTTCTTCATTTTTCTCCTTATTATTGTACTCATCTTAGTTAAGTTGTACTTATCTAATCATTCTCCCCCTCATCCACCAAATAGTGAATATACAAGGGGATTCTTCTGAAGCTTTTATACTGTCAACAAAATAGGACGGTTAAAGAAAGTAAGCAATCAAAAAAAAATTAATACCATTGTCTTAAGTAGACAACACGTGCCAAAGTTCAGAGAGGTCCACAAAAGTATATAATTCTGAATATATCCAAACTGAAAACACTTGATTTTAATTTTTGAATTTTCAGGACACAGACGGGCTGGAAAATGTCTATGAATTCCAGCCAGTGGACTGTTTTTCAGTGCCACCTATTCAAATGGAACCCTCTACGATCTTATTCCATGATAACTGGAAGCACATCCCCCCTCAATGCAGCCAAGCTCCACTTGTACTAAGGAGAGTAAAGCCGATTAAAGTGAGAGACTTAAATTAATTGTCTTGTCCAAAACATGTCCAGGCCATTCAGGAGAATTAAGGATCGTCTCAGAGCATCTGTTAAGAGAAATGCCACCAAAATCTCTCCAGATCTACCGTATAAACTGAACTATACAAGAGAGCTGCTTTCAAATGCATTTGCGTGCAAGACAATCAAAAAGAAGACATCTGGAGAAACACTGCGTCAGAGCGCCTACCTTGATATTACACGCCACGGCCTTCCCATCTTCTCCGTTATACATCAGCTTCATTCCCCGCAGGGCATCCATTGCCTTAACGAAGCCTATGTACTCCTGGTACTGCACATAGGCCTCGAAGTTCAAATGGCCGCCAAAGCTGAAGGTGTGGAAGTTCTTGTCCATCATCTCCTCCCTGTAAGGGTCCAGCATGGGAATGTCGACGTTGCGGATCCTGCCGAAGACCTCGAACACGGTCCGCAGCACGTTCTCACACGGCTTCTCCGAGGACGAGCCCTTCGGGGCGAACCACTTGCAGGGCAGCCCCTCTAAGTGGATGGTGTCCGGCCGCTCGCCGGGGAGAGTCTCGTTCATGTCCCTGGCGTCTCGGAAGAACGAGTCCCAGTCGTGGCGGGTCGGGAAGTCGATCTTGTACTCCGCGGCCCGGACTTTGAGGATGTCGGTGAAGCCGCTCAGCTTTATCGTCTTCCCATCGAGTTTGGCCAGGAACGTCCGAACGATGCCCCGGTTCTCCACCTCGCCCTCGAAGCGGATGAACTCCATGGTGCTCTTGGCGATGCGCAGGGTGGAGAACTGGTCGGGCTGCACCATGGCCTTCAGCCTCTCCATCACCTCCCAGTTGGAGATGGACTTGCCCGGCTGCTTCAGCTGGGGCAGCCCCACGCTGACGGTGAGTTTAGCGATGGGTTTCAGGTAGAGGCCTTGGGAGGAGCACAGCTTCACCGCTTCTGACGTGTCGTGGACTATTGTGGTCGCCATACTCGCCGCATGCGACTGTGGTGAAAAACATAAAGGCGTGTTCCTTAACATAGAGAGCTCATCATCAAGCACATCTCTTGCATATCCTAATCGAGCCTATAAACATATACATGGATGTTAATCCAATACACCTTTAGCTCTTCAGAATTTCACACTTCCTCCCTTCTTTTGAACGATAATTCACTAAGTCATATTTCAACTTAACAAAAACCGACTAAACTCCAGGAGTGAAATATGAGTTAAATGAGGGATTATTGGGATTACTGATCAGTGTCACCCTCTGACTGAAGGAATGATGACGCAAAACACTCAGAAACCGTTTGAAATGAAAAGTTTGCCTTGTGCTCTAATGAGGAGAGTTATTGCGGTTAATTTTAGTAAGTTTGTAGGGACCCCAGGGGTTAGAAAAAATTCACAAGCATCAAAAACGAGCTCAAAACTAAAATGACCTATGCATTTCACACAAATTTGTTAGAAGAAATATACACACCCCGAGGCCACGTGAAATGCAACACTCAAATCCTGCTGATTGAATCAAATATTTTAAACAGATAACTATCACTGACAAAGTTACAGAAACCACCCAAAAACACAAATCCAAGAATGGTGTTTTTAGTATGAAATGTGACAATACTGTAAAAATGAAAATATTAAAAGTCATAGTTATCCTACTGTCCATGAGCACTGTCCATGGCCCACAGAAGATTGTGATTTAGAACTTACTTGTCAACATTTCCCTTAAAAGGCCTCCAAAAAGATCACTTATGCTGAATCCACTAACATTAGCCATTTTAAACCAAATATCAAACAGTGTGCACCTGGTGTTAATTCCTGAGATTCCATAACTGCAACCCAGTTGTTATCCAAAGAAACAATATATTCCAAAGAACCAACATATTTGACAAATATCTCAAATGTAAATAACACTGTGCACGATGAAACCATGTGTCACATCTTCATTGTGCATCAGTACATAGATTATATCTTCCACATGGCAAGCATCAAGAGCAACTACAAGCTCTAAAATTTAAAACAAAAGCTGTGTTTGAATATAATGTGATATATAGTTTGAAAAGAAACTACATTCTGCATTTAGACAGGAAAGTATATGTACAACAGATATATTTAATAGGTACAATTAAGGGCATATTTGGAAGAGACTCTCTGTTCCCCAAATTAAATCCCAGGGTAAGGTAGTCCAATGTAGCCAAGTAACAACTCAAATCTACTTTGAACATCTGGACAACTTGCATTTAGCTGAGGATTTGTCTGGAGTCTGTTCGTATGAAAAGCTCAGCTAAGCGTTATAATAATTTAATACATCAATGACTTAAAGGTATTTTCATAGGAACTCTGCAATGCTACACAATCTAGATGCTATGCTTGTCTAAAGGCTGGCAACAATGATCCAAGACGACTCCTGGAAAGAGACACCTGCGTTTTGAGACTTTTTTTTTAACCTAAAAGACGTTGTAGCTTTTAAATGTCAGAAAAAGGTTTGCAACTAAACTTAGAAACAGTATTCCACCTGTCGTTGTCCATTGTCATTAGGGCACCTATGAGGAGCTGTTCAGACAGCAATAAGAGCTTGCCGGTGTTGGGAGCTATTTGCTTAATGTCTTGTAAAAACTACACCATTAGCGAGCTACTTTCTAGATCAAGGCAGGTTTTGATCACTCAAGAATTAAAATAAGAGGTAAACTGAAATAAAGCCAGAAAATACAGCGGGGATCCAGAAGCCAGGTTAAGAACCTTGTCTTCATGTGACTGGTGCCAGACCCGATTCGGTAACACGAACTCTTTTCTGAACGAGCAGTGCTGTGCAAAATGAAAAAGCGACAGTCCTGGCAGACTAGCGATTTCATTCAGCTGCATCCATTTTGACTTTCACTTTACACACGAAGATAAAATCCCGAGTCCCCAGCGACTTCACAGACGAAGATGAAACGAGTAGAAGTCACTCACCTGACCCTGCTCCGCAACACAACCGTCCACTCTATGTCACCTTTAAACAAACTGTATTGTCCTAAATCATAAATTATAAATCATAAATCGTACAAAACGACTTGACCTGTTTTCTTTTATCGCTATGCTACCAGTGACCTACCTGTGATCGCTGCTGTAGAAAAATCTAGTCAGTTTTGTTGTTCAATCAACACGAGCAAAGAAAGTTCCTGTATGACGTAATTCCGCTTCCGTCATGGAAGGAGGGATGTGATTGGTTCGATAACTTCGGGTGGGCTGAAACTCTGGATACTCCGGCCTCTTGCACAGCGCTGACTAGGGGCTGGCTGTCTTCTGGGAGCATGCACTCGTACTGGTACTTGTAGTAGTAATAATAACGCAGAAGTGCCCATCACCTGTCTTGGAGGACTACAGTTCTGATGCATTTAAAATTTTCATAGGTTAGGAGTAGCTTAAAAGCTAGGAAAGTTTTTAAACCACTCTGATCAAGCCAATATTTAGTTCAACTGGGTCATTAAGCTAAGAGCTGAATTGGAAAAGAAACCCCCAGAAACTGCGCTCCTGCGGCATTTTTACTAATACTGACAGAATTATCAGTCATTTCAAACCTATTCGATCTGATTGTAGCATTTAAGCTAATTTAATTTACACTTTAGACGTTTTAAAATGTATTTCCTTGCATCATTATCATTGATCTTTTAGGACTTAAAAGGACGCACATATAAGCTGTAAATTAATTTTGAAGACAGAAAGCGATTTGCTACATTTTCAAACAATACAAATATGACATTATTTTACCATAGAACTGAAATGCAAATGAAACGTTGTTGCGGTTTTTGTTTGGCTGAACCAAATTGTAGGAGCTTAATTGAATTGATCTTCTAGCTTTGTGCCGCAAGAGGGCGGCATGAGATCATTTTTTTAAACCTTCTGGCATGCGTTAGCGGTGCAGTGGTTAGTATTGCTAAATCGCTGCGCTGGAGCTCCGGGTTTGATTCCAGACCTGGGATGCTATCTTCGTGGAGTCTGTAATCCTGTGGGTTTACTCCGGTTTCCTCCGAAAGTCCATCGACACACTGCTGGGTTAATTGTCTTCTGTGAAAACTGACCCTGGTGTAAGATCGTGCACGTCTGCGTGTGCCCTAAGATGGACTGTCTTCCTGGCTAGTTTGTATTCCGCCTTGGTGGCGCCCAGTGATTCCAGGGATAGGATCTGGGCCTGCTCCTGGATTGGATAAGCAATTATTGAAAGTGAAGTGATGCAGATATTAATCTGTCAATTATTTTGGCTAAATACTTCATCCACAAAAGTAAATGGTTT